ACCCTCGGTCATCCTTGGAATGTAGAGCATTTGAAGTACTATTTCAAATGAAGTCACCTGGCCTACGGCAGGGTCACGGAGGAGTCCCAAAGACCTTCGGCGTTGTAGCGTTTCCTAGCCAACGGCAGGTTCTAAATTGTAAAACGCACTCCAAATTGTACTTTTGCCTTCGGGAGTTTTCCTTCGGCCCATATTTTCAGAACCTTTGTTGTACCTTTCAAACCCTCCAGTTTTCTGTTCAAAAGAAAAGGATACGGTAGGGACCATCGGTCGCAATAAAATACGCATTTTGGCATCGCCATCATCCTACCGGTTATGGGACAACTTTGTAAATTTTATTGACCTTCATTGGCTTTCGGTAATTACGGGCCGATTCTTTGCCATCGGCAAGCACGCCCATTGGTTTCAATTCCCTAACACTTGGAATTTTGTGCGTAAAAGGAAACTTTACTGGCCGACGGCCAATGATTTTTGTTTGAGAGCCTTCGGCATTAAACAGAAAATTTTCCTAAGTACATTACCGATTCAGAAATAAGATGCGATTAAATTAAAATCAGAACATTAAAATTAAAACACAACTTTAAACATTAAACAGAAAAATTTCCTAAGTACATTACCGATTCAGAAATAAGATGCGATTAAATTAAAATCAGAACATTAAAATTAAAACACAACTTTAATATATAAAAACACGCCCATGGCGTCAATTATCCAAACAAAAAGATGCCAACGGCATCATAGTGCAACAACATTACAGAAAATGCCCTCGGCATCAAAATTACAATAAATAAAATGGAGGTGATCAAGATGAAGGGCCCTCGGCATCCGCCCCTTCGGCACCAGTGGCTTCAGGCACCTCCGGAGCATCTTCCCCCTCGTACTCCTCGATCATATCTTCTGTGACGCCTTCGGGAAGAGGAGGAGGATCGGCAGTGAAGTTCAAGTACAGGATTATACCGCTTGAATCGGTAGATGAGATCCACCATCTCCGCGCCCAACTCCTTGTCAAGAAGGACGGAGAAATCGGGAGAGTGGCGATACTTCTGGATGGCCTCCTGGACGGCAGCCTCGATCTCCGATGCCTTGGCCCGCTCCGACTCCTCCAGAGCCACCTGAACGGCATCCTTCGCCTCCATGGCCTCTTTTGCCGATAGATGCGCCGACTCCAGGGCTGACGACAGGTCTGCAAACTTGGACTCGTATACCCTGACCCGC